TATTATTATTATTATTATTATTATTATTATTATTATTATTATTATTATTATTATTATTATTATTATTATTATTATTATTATTATTATTATTATTATTATTATTATTATTATTATTATTATTATTATTATTATTATTATTATTATTATTATTGTTACTATTATTATTAGTTATTATTATTATTACCATTATCATTATCATTATCATTATACATCATTTATTTATGCAAAAATTCGGCTTTTCCCTACTGTAAATACTGTAAGAAACTTTTCATTATCATATGTATCAATTTATAATAATTATTATCAATTTATAAATAATATAATTATCACCGTTACCATTATTATCATTGTCATTATTAATAAAATGATAATATCATTTATTAATAACAATATTATTTATAAATTACAATGCTTTTAGAATATTTTTATGTGTCTAAAAAAATATTTCCCGTCTTTTGTTTTCTTTTTCTTTCTTGCTTTGTTTATTAAGGTTTCAGAAAAATTTCTGTCATGATTAACAACTCAAAATTTATTTTCATATAAATTAAATTTTTTCAAATTTTCAAGAATATAATGTTATACATCATTTATTTATGCAAAAATTCGGCTTTTCCCTACTGTAAATACTGTAAGAAACTTTTCATTATCATATGTAACAATATCAATCACAATAATTGTTCTTATTATCATCTGAATATTTCAGAATGCTGTCTTTGCGTATACTTATTTAGTTTTTACTAATTCTCATTTCATTTAATTTTATCAATCAACATTATCACTCAATGATTCAATCATAATTGGACAATAATTATTTGAAATCTGTCATCCGGAATGATAATTGGCTATTATGATCAATACAGATAGATTTCAGAAGATATGTTTAATCAAATGGTCCAACAATCATCTACTGCTATTCCTACTACTACTTCTGTTACTACTCTTACTACTTCTACTGCTACAACAATCATTAATCAATTGAAATATCCATTAAATGGATATGATTTACCACTAAATTCTGACAAATTACGAAGTATTAATGTTATTAATAGTGATTTATACCCTAATAATGATAATAATAATCGCAATGATAATATCAACGATTTATATCGTAATCAATCTTATGACCCTAATGATTATCACTATATACCATTGAAGAAGTATTTTTCTGTTGATCATCGATTCAATCGATTGCTTTTTGAAAAGCCACAACGAAGATTTACAATAAAATATCGTAATCATAAGAAACAAAATTTGATAAATCAATCATTTAAATATTGTAAGTGTATTTCAACGAAAAAACAGCTAACTTCACCTCACAAACTTTATTCATCTAATTTGTCATCTGAAAATTTGGAAGGAAATTGTTCATTTGAATATGCCTTGCATCATGAAACTATGGCATCATGTATCTGGGATTCGATGATAAAACAGAAGGACGAATCATGTCGTTCCACACGACAATGTTTCAATGATATATGCGGTTGTTTCAACAGTTTAAATGAAGACAGTAATAGTGATAGTGATAGCGATAACAATGACGATGAGTATGAAGGTGATGGCGATGATAATGATGAGGATTATTCAATTTTATCGGTGGATCAACATTGTAATAAGTCGAAGATATCATGGTATAGCGAAAACCAAAATTGGTCTTATGTTAATGGTGATGATGATGATGATGATGATGATGATGATTATAGTAATCATCAATGGATCACTTCTCGTTATGAAGAATCGCAAATTGATCGTGCCAAATTTATGGCATCTGCAGCAGAAAAGCTTTTAACAGCAGATCGAAATATGAAGGAAGCACAACGTTTAAATATTTTACATTCAAGAATAGGACGAACGCGTAGTTTGTTGAATTTATTTTTTCCACGTAAATTACTCTCAATGGAAATTAGCACTCCGATATTGATCAGTAGTACAAAATCGACAGATTATCTACGATGTTTACCGAAAGTGCAAGCAATTGATAATGATTTGAATGATGTGAGAATTTTAGCAAAAAAAAAAAAAAAAAATAAGATAAATAAATGAATAAATTGGAATTGGTATTATTGTTTTTCACTGAGAAAACAGTAATAAATGGAATGATATAATTGAAATAAATGATATGTGTATATATATATATAGAGAGAGAGAGAGAGTTAAATTAGTTTCTACTTTTTATCCATTACCTTTTTCATTTAATTGTTTAGATTTTTATTAGTGAAATTATTGCTTAAGCTATTAAATTAATAGTCATAATTGACAAAATTATTCTAACCTTAAGAATATTCCATCTTTTACTAATATATTTTGAATGTGCACTCAGGAATTAAAATAAATGGATAATTGAATCGATTCGTTAATCATGATACTTGAAATATATGATTTGTTCAATAGTTGCTTGTTAGCTACAATAATAATAACAAATGATAAAACATAATAAACATTACAAATGAGATAATTAAAATGATGTTAAGTATAAACAATTTATTCTCAATTTTATGTAAATTTTAAAACAAGGATAAAATTTGGTGTGACATTATGACATTTGACATTTTGAGCAACATAATGGTCATATTTTATTTTATTTTCTTCATCCTTAATTTCTTTTATCTTTTGGATTTTATCCTAAGTATATATAATCATTATTTTAGAAAAATATAACAGCTCAGTGTAATGGAAATGGTGGAACTATGCAGACCAGAGATACTATCAAGGAGGTACAAAAAATTTGCATTAATTCAATTATATCACTTTGATATTTTATTTTTGCTAATGTGTAGATAAATAACAATAATTTGTCGTCCGATATCATTCTCATCGATGACAAAAAAACAAAATTTCATCACTCCAAGTAGGAACATCACAGTAAGAAGAAAAGAAAAAAGAAAAAGAAAAGAAAATGCAAAAATTTTTTAAAATTTAATTAGGAGATACATTCAATCCAAACAATAGTATTTTCAACCTATCCTTTTCATTTTTGAATTATTTCAATTTCAATTGCTCAAACCTAATTAAAATAATATTTAACAAATGATAATAAAAAAGTTACTTTCTTTATAACTAACATTTTCGGTTTTTCTTTTTTTTTTTTTGTAAGAAAAAACAAAAAGCATTACAATGCAAAAAAGCCTAATACTTAATTTAAATTTAATTTTTTATATGGACGAAAATTAAATGATAACTTTGACAAAATTGAGATTTTGAAACATTCGGGACCATATCCACAAATTGTCTTACCTGCTGGTGGCGGTTATTGGATGGATGGTGTAAGCAATTGTACCATTAATATCGATGATGAAGTTGTTGGATGTTGTCCGGCTACAAGTAGTTGTGCTCGATCAAAATTAGAAACTGATGACACGTCACATTGCTACAGGCGACATTTTGTCGGCAGGGTAAAATTAATTTTTTTAATATCTTTAACAATTTTTGTTTTTTGGCTTAAAATCTTGAAATTTTTGTCTTGGAGTTTTACCTTTTAGATGAAATGATCAAACTATTATGACAATTTGAAACTGTTTAATCATGATGTTTGATCATTTTTTAATTAACTGTGATAGCTTATGATATTGATAAAAAGCCTACTGTAATCATCTACTAGTTGGAAATAAAATTGTGTACTTAAACCTATTGAAGAAAACAAAAACTTTAAATAAATAAATTGATAGACAAATCGTTCAATCATTTAAATCAAATAAACAGTGTAATAATTATAAATAAGTCAGTTATTAATTACAATAAACAAAAAATGAATAAGTTAATCAATAAATTGGATGTGCTAATTAATTTTATTAAAATATGCGTCATTGGACATATGAAATTATTTTGTTTAATTTTGCTTGTTGACTAAATATAATTTATTATTAATTCAAATTACCTTAATATACCTTGGATAGATTATAGATAAATAAATAAATGAATAGATAAATAAATAAATAGGTAAGTAAATAAATAAATAAATAAATAAATAAGCAAATAAATAAATAAGTAAATAAACAAATAAGTGAATAAATAAA